GAAGCTTACGATATATATAAAGAATTCTTAATGCAAATTGATAATAAAGATTTAAATTTTCAACTTTTACCAGATTGACATGTGTTGTGGAACCGGAACTATTGGAATTGCATTGTCTAAAAGTCTAGGAAATAAAATTGATAAAGTTATTGGCATTGAACTTTGTGAAGAAGCCGTTGAAGATGCAAAATTCAATGCCAAGTTAAATGGTAAGCATTAGTATAATAAATATTTCTATTAATCTCTATTAATTATTACTAATATAACATTTTTTAGGAATTAGTAATTCTGAATACATTCTTGGTCCTGTCGAAAAGAATTTAAAGACTTTGTATTCATATAAGAATGCAGATGCCGGCACAGCTGTCGCAATTGTGGATCCGCCTCGGTAATTGTTCATTTAACATTTATTGAAGGATTTTTGTAAAAATTATTAAAAATGAAATTTATTTATTTAAATAGTGCGGGTGTTCATAAAAATGTAATTAAAGCGCTTCGTGAATGTAAAGCAATTGATTATTTTTTGTACGTTTCATGCGATTGCAATTTGGCCACACAAAATTTTATAGAGTAAGTTAGATTTATTATATAAATATCAATTCCAAATTGTCAAGATTGTTACTAAAAACAATGACTTACAACATTTTTGATTTAGTTTATGCCGACCCACAACTAATAACTTCCCAGGAATTCCATTTAAGCCGGCTCGAGCAGTTGGAATAGATTTATTTCCACATGCAAAGCAAGTAGAATTATTAATTGAATTTCATAGAGATAAAGAATATCCAACTAAGGATGCAAAAAGTGAATAATATGATTCTTAAATAAATGTATCAGTTAAAATCAGTACAGTAGATATAATAGATATTTTACATCATAAAAGAATAACATAAATTATATGTATTGTATTTGAATAATTAAATGTTCTGAGCGATTAGTGAAATTCGCAAATTTTTATTATGTTGAGAGTTTACTGTAATGAAACTGATATGCATTGGTACTTAAACGTATTTAACTTATATGCCATGTACTCTTAATTAACAAAATATGTTGAAACTCTATATTAGGTAATGACGGAGAAAACTTATTAAATTCTATAATATAAATGCTATTACTATTATATATACAAACTTTATAAATAAAATTTTCTATTACATTCCTATAGCTTTCATCTTATTTAACGTAACCTCGTTGGGATTTATACCATATTTTTTCATCTCACGATAAACCATGAATACTTTATCCCTTCTACCGACCGTTATCCAAGCAGATATTAAACTATTAAAAGAACTAACATCTGGTTTTATATTATTATTTATCATAGTATAAAACATTTTTTCAGCTTTAAATGGTTCGTTTGATCTAGCAAATCCTTCAATCAAAACATTATAACAATAACAACTAGCTGAAATATTTCTTTTTAACATTTCTTCAAAAACTTTAAGGGCAAGTTTCATATTTCTATGATAAAATACAAAACTTGTCATAAATACGGTAAAAGAATAAATATTTGGTCGTGGATTATAGTTCGTATCATCAAATTTTTTTAAAAAAGTTTCAAAAAGAGTATAAGCAGTTTCAGAATCTCGAACTTTTTCAAGTTTATCATATAATTTTGTCGTATCTCTAACATGTTGTGGTGTTCTTGATATAGGTAAATTTGATGAACTTTTTTGGGAGGTATCAAATTTTGAATTTGTTATAGAAGCTAATACACGATAAGTTGCTCTATGAGGTTTTATACCGGATCCAATCATTTCTTTATAAATTTGTTTAATTTTGTCAATTCTCCAAACTTGTGCCCAAGCTTTGATTAAACTTGTATAAGTAAATACATTAGGTTTAATGTTATTAGATTTCATAATTTGAAATTGTCTATTCGCTTTTTCAGCTTGACCCAATAAAGCATAACCTTCAATTAATATAGTATGAGTTACAACATCAGGTGAAATATTTCTTCTAGTCATTTCACCATAAACTTCTTGAGAAAGTGTCATATTTCCATAATTATGAGCAAATATTGTAAGGAAAAGATTAAAAACATGACAATCTGGTAAAAGTTGAAAATTTAAATCTTTATTATCAATTTGCATTAAGAATTCTTTATATATATCGTAAGCTTC